CTCTCCTGTGTTCACAAACTGCCTCTTTTGAGCCGCTCTTGGAACACTGCCATTTTGCTGATTGTTCTTGAAACAATTTGTTTAACCCAGAACGACATCAATATCAGCCCCGTTCTTACTTGGACAAAGTACTTTGTCAACATTCAGTCACCTTGAGCAACGCCTGAAGCGATCTGCTGCAAAAAAGTGGTGGCGGGGTGGTGGCGGGGCGGGTCGCTCCGCCACCGCTCTGGGATTTTTCTCATAGCGGGTGAAAACATCCTGCCACCGCCCTACCCATGATACAGGTGTTGTAGCAGGCTGTCAAATTGACAGGGCAATCTGAACTTTCACCCCACAGTCCTTGCTTAGAGCGGCATGTAGCGACTTCAGAATCAAATTCAACAGTCGACGTCACTCTTGGGTCTCAGAGCAACTCTCAACCCCTGCGACTTAACATGGCAACGTCAAACCAGCACGAAAAGCCTTTCAAACCATTCTATATACATACAACATCCTACAACATCCTCCACTTTTTGAGGACCCAAATTTTTACAAAAACCTCATCTCAATGTCTCAGCACTTACTTCCACCAACAATACTAATCTCACCGATAACTCAAATCATCAAATCCTTTTGATCCCAGGATCATCTTCATTGCTTATTCATCATCAATCTGACCATTCAATCTCAGTCAATCAATCTAAAAAATCAACATCAACAGCCTAACAATCGAATTGTTCTAGAAACACTATTAAACCCTTACCTTTGGATTCTATTCTCAAACAATCACATTGTTGTTCAACCACTGCTGAACCTCAAACTTCATCATCTTCAACTTTACAACAAACTAATTTAAACTCAGGATCATCATTGTCCCACTCTTCATCTGTTACCCCTTCCTCATTGATTCCAACTAAGGCTCCGACCCAGTCCCAACCCGGTAATTCTGAGTTGGCCTGGGGCCAAACCCCCCCTTTGGCCGGGCCGACCCGGCCCCAGCCATGGAATTTGCTCGAAAAAGCAAATACAAAGCAAAAAAAAAACTCTACATAAAAACTCTGATTAACACCGCATTCAATTTGAGCTTGTGAATACTCGACTCAACAAACTTTCAAAGGATGGCTTTGAAAAAACGCCCTCGCCCCTCTTTGCCCTCCGCTCCTACTCCCATTGTTGTATCAGACACTGAAGAGTCATCGAATTCGAATTCAAAGTCTTCCGGTTACGTCGCGAAATCTACGACTTCAAGCACATCTACCTCTGTGAACATTACTCACAACCAGAAGTCTTGGGGTTGGAAGTTCTTCAAGACCCAAGACGTTGAAGGCACTGTTAAATATATCTGCCAGGCAGCTAAACCTGCAGGGAGTGATTGAATTTGTGGAGCGGCAATGACCCCCGATCGACCTCAAAGTACTAAGTCTTTAGCTCGACATCTCGATTGTTATCACAACATTACTGCTAGCACCACCAATACCCACCAAGGAACGATGAAGTCATACCTTCAAAATGGGACCGTTAAAAAGGTAATGTTTTTTATCTTTTTTACTACATCAGATGATCTTGA